GTTAATAATTGGACCAGAAGTTTTAAGTTTTAATATGAATTTAAAGGTTTTTAAAAAATCAATTGATTATTGGTTGCATATTCGATAATTTGTCGAGTGCTTCTCATCGATCATTCTCACTTGGCATATATGGTTTTATAAGGCATCTCAAAACGGAGAACATTAATAGTTATTAATAGGATGCAATGTACTTTCGATCATTACTTGTATTTATTTAACACTTTACGATATTATTGTGATTGAAGATATCTCATATAAACACTATTTTAAAATCTCAAAACCATCAATTTAATAGAATATATATATATATATATAATATATATATATATATATTTATTTATTTATTTATTTATATAAACATAAAGCTCGACAATCTAATAAACTATATCCTTATGAATAAATAAAATGCTTAAATGGAGTCGGACAATCTAAGTAAAGCATCATACTAACATTTTTATGACACACTTTTTCAAAAACGTTTATAAAAATGGAAAATAAATCGTTTTACTTATGTTGTCCAATTAACTTCATCATAGCCATGCCATTTAGTTTTCCATAAAGACGAAACTTGTTAGATTTCCCGATTTCATCAAACAACTTATTATAACGTCTTGTCTAAAATGTATAATCTATATTCTATAAACTTAAAATTGTTATTAGATACTCTATAATTAAGATGATAAGATGTTATCGTAAACCTATATTTTTTGTAACATCTGAATATTGATCATCATTTTACTTGAATATAATTTCAAAAAGTGATCTGTCTGTAGAAATGCCAAAGAAGCATTACACTTTTATGTAGAAACCATGTTGGAATGACCGGGACTCGAACCCGGCTCGAAGGATGCGTAAAACGACGAAAACCCATGAATACAGGAGCTGATGCGACTTGGCACGCGGCTTGTACATGTTTTATGAGTATTTGTGATTTGAGCACATTTGGGTTATGAAATCTCTAGAAAATGTTTATGATATTTTATTTGGTATTTTGTGACACCAATTTATATTTATTCGATAAAATATTTATTGGATATTTGGATGATTTGAGACAAAGTATTATTTTAACTCTTGAGAAATGTATTTTTAATTTAAGAATGATTTCATTTGGTGTTGTTGAACAAGTCAAAGTATTTATCGATATGATTTTGAGTCAACTATGTTTTTGGGACCTCATTCAACTTGTGAACTTTTGATGGTGACATATTAGCCATTTTGGTCATATGCGTATAATGTTTGATAATTGCCTTCTTCGGCTTTCTGAAGATTTTGGAAATACAAACATGCAGTTTTGGGCCTTTTGGCAATCAAACTTCAATGAAGTAGTGGTTATGGACCTATTCATGTTGTAAGTGTTATGTACTTGTTAAATATTGGAAAATATGCCTTTTGGTTTATGTGGTTTACATTAGTCAAGTGTTTTACGAGGGATTTTTGCTTGATTTTAACTCAAATGAGTTTTGGGGACATTTATCCGATTTTAATAATTCAATATGGAGCTTTGGATGTATAATGCATATATTAATATATTTGTTGGATATTACATGATTTGGGTGCGTTTGTCATTCAATTAGGGTTATGTAATTTTATATTGTAATGTATTGGATTCATTGGTATAGGAGTATGTCCTGTTATCAAGCGTGGAGTTTGATGCCCACACATAAGTCTAGTGAATGGTCCTCAAGTCATGGGTAGTGAGCTTGCGATGGTCGTATAAAGAGTTATTATTCAATGGTAGTACTAGGTTAAGTCATATCGGCTAGGTCTTGCGGTGGTGCTTATTGGAGCCGTATACGAAAACTAGAGACTTTGTGGCGAGACTCGTCAAGAGGCCGAGTAGACATTAGGACCATTAGTGGGAATCTTACGGTGGTGCTCAATGAAGCCATATACAGTGATCCTTGGTCCAAGGTGAAACCCGAGAATGTTGATATGTGGCTTACTTTTGAGTTCCTGCCACATTCGATGGAATCGGGTCTCCTCTGTTACCGAAAAGTAATGTTTTCAGAAACTTCATTATCCATGCTTTCAGTGATTTGAATATGTAGTCTTATCTATATACTTTATGCTTCATATGTGTAGGCCTTGCACTTGTTTCATGTGAGTTCAGATATTGGATATTTAACTAAACGAGTATCTGAATTGGAAGAAATGAGGTTTGTAAATATGTTTTAAAGGATGGGTTGTAGTCTAAAGAAAAAATATTCTTTTAAATTGTCTTATTTTTTATATGTTGAAACTGTTTTTAACTCATTAGACGGGAATATGATGAAATATGCGTTTTAGACTAATACTTTTTTTTTCTTATCGACATGTATATTAGGTATTAATTAATGAGATATGAACGGCGTTGGAGCTTGTAAAGGTTCGAGTAGGATGGCTTTAGAGGCGTCATCTGGTTTGGAAGATAGTAGATCTGGTGGTTTTAGTAACACCCGACTTGTTTTAATTATGTTTGAGAATTAATTAGATAGTCACGTTCAGAACTTTGATACATATTCTTGTCTTCCTTTGTAAACTCTATATATTTTGTTTTGACAAAAACTCTTAAAAACATTTTTTTATGCATAAGATACTGTTTGTTGATGAATATTACTTAAAATTCAAAATTACAAGTAGAATGTGCATAAGTACATCTTATTAAAGCTCCATGTTTGAATTCGTATAACTAACTGCAGATAAACATAATCAAATACATGATAAACGTCATTTTAAATATAAAAAAACTAAAATAATCATTGAGTTCTAACAGAATACTTAAAACATTTTTTTTCTTCTCAAAACCACATAAAATCACATTATAACATTGATAGACCCAAAATACAAAACGAAACATTAAATCAAGATATATTTCGTTGCATTGCACAAGTACCCTTTTAGTCTTTTTATAAGTTATAATCAAATACAATTATATATATTATTTATTGGGAAAAATCCATCCTACAATCCACAAAATTATGCCGTTACAAGAATATAAGCAAATGAAGTCCATTAATATGATTATCAATTAATTCCTATTTTATTTTTCTGTGTAGGAATTGAAATTGTGTTTGCATAATTTTTAGGATAATTGAAGGAGATGACGTAAAATTCGCATTGAATTTTCCATATCACGTAAAGTGTTTTTGTCGCCACTCGTTCTTTCATGTCATTTTATGTAAAGCAATTGTTTCGTGTTCATGGGGTGCATGCCTTGTAATTCATGCATATACATCTACATCATATATATATATATATATATATATATATATATATTAGAGAGAGAGAGAGAGAGATTAACTCTCCTTTTCAGTTAAAGCTATGCATATTGCTTTATATTGCTGCATTCTTTTAATTTTAATCATAAACAAATTATAAAAACTAATAATACTGAAATTTAATCTTTTATTGCTTTGTACACCAATCATATGTTAGACTCTTGTAATCATATTATGAGTTGTTTGTATGTGTGTGAAAATAGATGATTATATATATATATATATATATATATATATATATATAGGGGCTTAATCAAATGAGAACTGAATTGTTTGTAGTAACTGTGAGAACCAATCTCAACCACATATTATAATAATCAATGGGTAAGATTAAAAAGAATCAGTTCTCCCTTGAATAGGCCCCTATATATATATATATATATATATATATATATATATATATCCAAACACCCTTTTAATTACATACCCTTTTGTCAAATTGGTACCAAGCTATACGTTAACTTTTCTTTTTTATGGTTCAAGATAATTAGTCAAGGTAATCTATAAAGAGATAAATATCGTCATAAAATAAGTACATGTGTTTTAAATCAAAACCACCACCATCTTCGATTACTTCAAGTCTTGGAGTTTTCATTTACTTTTCTTTCCTTCTTTCCAATCTGATTACAACGCACATGCTTTCGGAAAAGGTAAGAAAGCTCGTAAAGCGCATACAGTTTGTGAAAAGAAATTAGATTACGCTTCCAAAACACAAATAGCTCCTTAACAACGTATTTTTAGTGATGTTTTTATCACAAAAGAACAACCTAACGAAAAAGCCCAATTTAGGACGAACAAGTTGAAGCAAGGAGTACAGATTACGTTATGCATTCGTATCCTGACTTGAATACCATTAACATGTGAACTGTATATACAGTACCGTGTTAAAACATCGTAATTTTGAATTTATGATTTATTTTAAATATAAACGAAACTATAATAGATATTGTTCGTAATGGGTTATTTAGTAAAAGATAATTAAAAAGATAGTATTTGGTAGTAGTACTAATGTTTGAAGGATTGATGGCACAAGCATCGAACATATTCGACAAGTTTCATAAATGCTGAAACTGTTCAAGAAACGACGCCGTAATGGCCGGTAGATGATGATGTTAGCTGGGCCCCAAGGACACGTTTGGTGGGCCAGGCCCACTGAAAATAAAGAAGATGGGCCCATTTTTAGCATCATAACTCCATTAACTCCAATTTAGTTTGCCACTAAAACAACTTTCACTCACCCAATTGAAGCCACGTAGAATCCATATGAATAAAATGGTTACTTAAAAATATAAAAATTAAAATTAAATATACTTACAATATTCATTTTGTATACAATCTGTATAATCTTACCGTATATTATTTAAGCTGGTATTTTAAATTATCATCTAACTTATCGATCAAAAACTAGGTTTTTAACTGACTTATGATCAACTTGTCTATAAACGTAATTTTTTTTTAGTTAAATTAAAAAGTAAATGATAATTAATTATTTGATTATGAAATAATTGAGATTAGAGTTGATTAAATACAATTTAATTTGAAGCATAATTATTGTTGTATTATAGAAGAATACAGTGAAAATATGGATATCTAATGTACCATATTTCATGCACACATGCATTAGGGAATATTCATATGATACGCATCCACCACTAACTTCGACCCTATGGATAATATACATACAGACTGCCTATAAATATGTAATAGCTCCATACATGTTCCTTAGGACAAACACACAAAACATCTTCAAGTGTTTTCCTCTCCTTTACAACACTTGAGTTTTCTACCATCCAAAAATCTTGCATTTCTCAGTTTAGATTCAAGAAACAACAAGATGGAAGGGAAGTTGGGATGTTTTGGGAGGTTTTTCCTTACAGCGAAGCCGTATATCGCCATGATTTGCTTGCAGTTTGGATATGCTGGCATGAATATAATCACCAAAGTGTCGTTGAATCGCGGCATGAGCCACTATGTCCTGGTTGTTTATCGTCATGCATTCGCCACTGCTGTAATCGCACCTTTTGCCATCATTTTCGAGAGGTATTAATAGTTCGTAATCTTCATGATGATCAATGTGAAAAAAGATGAGTAGTTTCTTGGTCAGGTTATAAAGTTCTCGGCTTTTGTATGATTGTAGGAATTTGAGGCCGAAAATCACATTCTCGATCTTCATGCAAATGTTCGTCTTGGGGCTTCTTGGGTAGGTTTCATTTAATTTCCTTCAAATTCATTTACAATTCATCCACAAAGGAGAAAAGTCTGAAACTGAAACACGTTTTCGGGGTTCCTACAGGCCTGTGATCGATCAGAACTTCTACTACGCTGGATTGAAGTTCACATCACCCACGTTTTCATGCGCTATGAGCAACATGCTCCCAGCAATGACCTTCGTTATGGCTGTCATATGCAGGTATACAAATACATATACATACACATATATAGATAGGTATATATATATATATAACATGTGTATAGTATGAACGAATCTAATTAATGTGTCAAATCTTTGAATAAAAGGATGGAAAAATTGGAGATAAAAAAGATTAGATGCCAAGCAAAGCTGATTGGCACCATAGTGACAGTAGCTGGAGCCATGTTGATGACACTGTACAAGGGTAATGTGGTGGAGTTGGTCTGGACCAAGCATGTGCACCCTCACTACGCCGAGCAGACCACGACTGGATCATCGAACTCTTCTGACAAAGATTGGTTCAAAGGATCCATTCTACTGATCATTGCTACTTTTGCATGGGCTTCTTTTTTCATTCTTCAGGTATTAATTGCTTGAAATCTGTTAAACCATCGATAGAGTTGTACTTTTCATGCAATCGTGTTTGCACTTAATTAACTAGGGTTTGATTCATTTTTGCAGAATGTGACAATGAGGAAATACAAGGCACCTCTCTCTCTCACCTGTCTAGTGTGCTTTATTGGCACTTTACAGTCGATTGCTGTGACTTTTGTAATGGAACACAGGCCTAGCGTTTGGAGTATTGGCTGGGATATGAACCTTCTTGCTGCTGCCTATGCTGTATGCACACACTCTCTCTCTCTTTCTCTCTCTCTCTCTCTAGATCTTTCTCGCTCTTCTGACTTGTTGACTGATATATTCAACAGGGAATTGTGTCATCAAGCATTGCATACTATGTGCAAGGCCTAGTAATGGAAAAGAGGGGGCCAGTGTTTGTAACTGCCTTTAGTCCTCTAATGATGATCATTGTTGCAATCATGGGTTCTTTCATCCTAGCTGAAAAGATCTACATGGGAGGGTAAATACGTCTTCTCATGTAACTTCTTCTCGATATCAATCAAATTGTATGTATTGAATCTTGATCTGATAAAATGAAGCCTTCAATTTTGCAGTGTGATGGGTGCCATACTGATTGTAATGGGACTATACTCCGTCCTTTGGGGAAAGTACAAGGAACACAAGGAGAAAGAGCTAGCCGAACCAGTAAAAACCGCTTCAAGAAAAAATAACGACAACAACATGATGATAACGATTGACGGCTTCGAGACCAACGACCTAGAGATGCAAAAGAACGGAACATACAAATCATCAGCAATCCCGACCATTGCGATCAGTGCTCCAATCCCAACACCACCAATGATCGCGGTGGAAGCACCCAAAGTGTAAGGAGTGATGTGAACTAACTGGGAGGATGGAAGAGAGAAAGAAAGAAAGAAAAGAAAAAAAAAGAATAATGGAGGGTATAAATATGTACAAGTACAATAGATCAGGGGGTGGGAAGATAAAAAGCAAGGGCTTTTTGTAATTTTGATTTTTAATGTTTTCTCCTTTTTAATTTTACTTTGTGGAAGATTAATGAAGATTCCATGGAATTGCAATGAAATCTTTGTTTGAGAACATCATGTGTCGTTTTCGATGACGTCTGATACGGATCCCACTTCCAAGGTAGTGTTTCATGTTTGGAAATCCATTTGTCTCCTCCTGTGGCCCCAACTAAATATCAATTTATTTTAATCATATATTAATTATTTTCTCTCATTAAACACATCAAAATTACTCATTACAATAATTGTATTTATAGTTTTATTGTAAAATAATAATACAAGTATCTAATTTAACATCGACGGGATTAACTTTTGATTTTCTCGTCCACTTTCTAAGAATCGAGGAACTGATTGCATCTATATCTCATCTGTTTAACAATTGAATTTCAATTTTGATCGGTACATTTTTGAATACTGATAATATTTACTGAAGTCTATTGTACCTTGTTAAAACAAAATCAGCCAAACCAACGTAGCAATTGTCATCGGCCACCACAACTTGCAACTTTTCTTTATTTTTGAACTAAAGATTTACCATCCATTCAAATTCAAACATGGCATGAGCCAAATCCTGAATGTCGTCTACTTTTGGCCATCATCTTAGTTGTTCGACTTATGTTTGACAATTGAGGATGGTTTCACAATAATGTGGTGTCGTTTCGGCTTTATAGGTGTAGGGGGTTTCAATTTCATGCCATGTCTTACGTGACTAAGTATTTTTTCACAATAATTTCTTCACATTTCTAGTGTCGTGTAACTAAGTATTTTTATTGCAAAGTTGTGAATTGTCATATTTCTCAATTGTTGATTCTAGTTCAACTTCATAGTCTTTTTCAGGTTCAATAAGCGTTGGTGATTTTAGTGTCATCAATCATTTTGGTGTAATTGTGATTTACTTGAGATCGAATAAGGTGATAAGGTAAACAAAGTGAGTTAGGAGATGCGGGGTGTATACTCACTAATATTGCTTCTACCATCTTAGATCGTTGAAAAGCGGAAGTGGAAGGGGCCGCGCACCCTCGTGGGATCCTAGGTGGAGCGCACCGATACCTACAGAGTTTAAGAAGAGTTCTACTTAGAGATTTTAGTTTCAGGATGGTCGGAAACCTTCTTGAAATTGTTCCCGAACTTGGAGAAATTTTGACTAAGTATAGTTCAGAGACAGTGTAATCAGAGCCTTATGCTTAGAGTTACGAGTCTTCACTAAGATTCCTAAGTGTCGAGGAATAGAGCCTCTAGCCTATGGACCTTCAGGGTCCCTAGTTCGTATGATCAGAGCTATGTACATCTTCGTGATGCTTCGACTTAGAGTCTCTAAGTTAGTTTTAACGTTTCGTAACCTCATCCATAAGCAATTGTACTTGTTGTGTAGTGACATATTAATTAACTGTTAAATCGTTCGTAATAGTCGATTTTTCTTATAAATACATAAACGGTTGATTTGGTGAATATAGATATACGAATTTGTGCCTTAATTTGGGTATGTAATTTTTGGATTATCACACTACTAATTTTGTGTTAACCTAAAGTATTGTAGGCGCAAAATATAGTATTTGGAAAATGATTTTCAATATGCAATCCAAGAATTTTATCCAAGTCTATTCCAACCACAAAACCCAGATTTTCCAACAATAAGTTGGTTAAACTTGAACGTAAATAAAGTGATTGAAATAATTAGAATAATAAAACTATAATTGTTGGTCTCAACCATCAGATTTGTAAATAATACATGTAGCATCCGAACAAACACTTAGAATTTTTTTTACAATTACTTGTCTTATAAGGAGAATATCCGATGAACCTCATCAGTCGGATATGACTCCAAAAGAGTAACATCCAAACTTATTCATAAGGTTTCAGATGTAATACATTCATCGGATCCACTTATATAAACTGAGATCAATTCTTCTGTCTTAAATATTCTCCATTCAAAGAGGAGAGTTTGATTGACATTCTTATTGATCATCCATTCTTGAAATTCAAGAACCCACAATTTATACCAAGTCTTTCTTTGATATCGATAAAGCATTCATATAGTTTCTATAGCTGGAAATCCGATCTATAGCTTGTATTTCAAAATTAACAAGATAAGATTTTTACTTGTTATGTCTTATAATTATTTGTAGTCAAGAATGAAATGCCTTCAACAAAATCGAAGACTAGTTGAAGTGGGGTCAAGATCATCACCAGATACTACTACTGTTAAGTTGGATTTTGGAGTGTAAACTTGTCCGACAAATTTGGTTCACCAACTCTCTGACACCCATCCTGGTATGAGCATATGTACAACATGTTAGCCAAAGTAAGTTCTAAACACTATCTTATTAGTGTCATACTTTCTTTACTGCTCCCTTGTCATACAGAAGGATGAGATAGGTTAACAAGTATCTAAATCAACTACAAAGCTGAAATGAAGAGTACAAGCATGATAGATTAACAAATCAGATGAAGAGACGTGCTAAAGTTGAATAGTACATTTAATGCAATGCTGTTATAAAATGCCACCTTTGTCCCTATATTACTCACCCATTTTGAAAGAATTTTTATGTGATAGTTTCTTAGGCAAAATCAGCGTCAACATCTGAAGAACTACCTTAGTTCTTTGGATCTGAAGGAGTCCTCTCTTTCTTCACTCTTTCAGTGTTAACGAATTTGTCACCAGTCAGATTGTTTCGTAATCTCCACAACAAAAATGTAATTCTTAATTTTAATACTAAGTTATAGAATTAAAAAGTGAAAATATGTTGTGTTTGTATTTAACCCCTCCTTCTACAAACACATCATTATATAAGTTACTACTTCTCTGTTACACCCCTAAAATTAGAAAATAGCCGAAAATTTAAAACTTTCAAAACTCCTTTAATTCAAAGTAACTTTAATATGAAATTACATAAAGCTTAGCCAAAAGGAGAACAAGGTACGTATTAGAGTCTAAACGACAATCTAATTCTTAAACAGAATCATAATAAATCGGGTATGACTAATACCATCAAATCTGCTATCTTCAAAACCGGATGATGCTTTTAGGACTTCCTATCAGAACCTTTACAAGCTCCAATACAATTCAAATCCTTCTAAGACCTAATATACATGTCGATAAGAAAAAGTGTTAAGCTTAAAGCCTAGAGAGTTAGAACAGTTTATCTCATAAATATAAAAACAAAAGAACCCGAAGAGTTTCCCTTTTTTTCCAACAATTCCTTTATTAAAGTAGCATTTAAAGCATCGAATACATTCACAAAACCCATTGTTTCCAAAATGAGATTCCATAATAGAATATTGCTTTAAGATCAGACTGCCATTATACTTATTCCTAAAGTATGTGAATAAGATTTAACTCACAAAACGTTTGAAATACGATATTATCACATTCCCCAAAATCACTGAAAGCACAGACTAATTACCTAAGCAACGCCTTTCAGTGATGGGGGAGACCCGATTCCGTCGACTGTGGTGTAACACAAAGTAAGCCATGATTTGACATTATTGAGCAGCGTCCTAAGATCACGGGCCAATGTCTAATCCCTCTCGAATCCTGACCCATACGAGTTCATCTTCATGATACCCCAACCTCATGCCTACTTATATACCATAGAGTCACACTACAATCCAATGGTTCTGGGGCCCGAATCCTCACAAGTTCATCCCTAAAGTTAGCTCTACTAGGCAGCAACCTCTACATATGGGTCCTGATGCCTAACTCCATACAAGTTCATCATCATAATACAAGGGTCTCGGATCCAACCCACACAGGTTCTCCTCTGCAAATACCCATGGTCCCGAAGTCCAACCTACACGGGTTCCTCTATGCAATACCAACTATCATGATACCTACATAGCATTTGGTCTCAAAATGAGGACATCAAAACTCCTCAAATATCAATGTGACTGACTTATATGCCTATGGATCCAATGCATTACAGTCTAAACTTACATGACCCCAAATTGAATGACACGCACCCAAAGCAGTAATATCCAACAATTATGGAATATACATATTATGCATCTAAGACTCCATAGCCATTATAAATGGACAAATGTCCTCAAACTCATTTGAGTTAAAATCAAGCCAGAAGGCCTCATAGAACTCTTGACTAGTTTAATTATGTAACACCCTAAGAAAACAATAAGGTAAGAGATAAATTGAACCCAAAACACAAGCGAAAACTAGAGTTTAATATGGATCGTCCAACAAAGGGAAATGATATAGCGTTTACAAAACAATTAAAGAGGCGATAATTAACAACCTATTAATCTAGACAATCCTATGCCTGGATTAAGGACGGGTGTTTCTATCGTCTCCAACAAAGTGTCGTATCATCAAATATTGCAACGCTCCAAAACACCAAAAGCTTTAACTACACAAAAGTCTTTTACGAGACAACGCTCCCTCAACCCTTTGAATCCCACCGCTAAAGGAACCTGACAAACAAGTTATTTCAAAAAGAGCATTAGGCTTACGCCTAGTGAGTCCAAATAATGTAAAAGAAAAGAATCACTAACCCATCATACATGCATGCCTATATATATATATATATATATATATATATATATGAATGACGTAATTTTAAATGATACAAGGAGAATAATAAATTCTAAATTTTCACGGGGTGAAGTCAGAACATCCGAAGATGACGGGGGAGACCCGATTTACTGTTGATTATGACGGAACACAAAGTAAGTCATAAATTAACGTTATAGAGCATCACTTACAGGTTTAATACCATTGACGTCAACCTAACCAGTCATGTAGTTGGTCGTGATCTTAAGCTATTTATCTCGGAAATTACATAATAATCGCAATGCCTATTTCCGAGTGAGAGTGAGAAGGTGATTTGGAATTTACATAATGATTACAATGCCTAAATCCAACTCACACCACCCTTCACACCAATACAATGAAACAACTTTCATGCTTTCAAACCCACTATATTATAGTGATATGCTTGAATACGGTATCATAAGCATAAAAGTACTTACTTATCAATAGGATCTTACATGCGTCCTAACACAAGCGAAATAACCCCACTTTGCCAATAAAGAACTCAAAACTAGGGGCATGAGGGTTTTAGA